AAAAAAAAATAAATGTATACTATTTCTACACTCCTTGTGGCCATGCTTTTTAAGTAGGAGTATGCATATGTTATTTCACACATGCTGGTAACTGCGGCTAAAATGCAAAGTTCATGTAAATTTTAGTGATAATTGAATTTTAGAGAATTTTTATGCTTGCCGTTTTATCACTTAGCTCTTCCTCCGGACATCCAGGAGGATGAATTCACAGCCCTGGGCCATTGAGGATACAAAGATTCTGAAACACCGAATTATGGGATGAATTCCATAGTAGGGTGGCATTCAAGGTCCCCTCAAGTCTACTTAACCATCATTTCATTGTCCCTACATACTGCTTTCAGTGTTAGCCAGGCTAGTTTGCCCACTTCCCCCAATACATATGATGTCAAGTTTTTCTTGAAATATTTCCTCTTTCTTTGATAATGTCCTAGACTGGGTTCCTTGGGAGACAGACTCTTGGATGGAGATTTGCATGCAGAGAGTTATTTGCGGAGTGCTCATGGGAGTAGCACCTTGAAGGGAGTGAGGGAAGCTTGTTTGAGTGGGGGCAGAAGTTGAACTGTGAGGCGGTGACAACAGAGTGGTCAGCAGATCACACAGTGTATTAGTCCCTTTCTGTTGCTTGTAATGAGATACCTGGAACCAGGTAATTTGTAAGGAAGTGAAATTTATTGCTTATACATGTGAAGGCTGGGAAGTCCAAAGTCCAGGGAACACATTTGATGAGAGCTTTGTTCTTGCTTGACACCTCTAGCAATGCAGGGTGTCACATGGTGAATATGGTAGGAGCAAAGAGAGACTAACCTCCTCACTCACTCTCTTTTTAAAGCCATCAGCACCACACCCATGACCACCATTAAACCATCAACGGATGAATCCATTCACTGGGGCATGGTCCTCACAATCTAATTACCTCTTCAAGGCCCCACCTTTCAATTACCACAATAGGATTTCCCACCCTCTTATCATTGTCACCATGGGGAGTTAAGTTTCTAATATGTGGAACTTTGGGGGACACAATTCAATTAATAGCACACAGGGAGACTCACCTAGGGAGCCCTGGAACTGGAAGTCACTGAAGGGCTGTTCTGATAGAAGCATGGTGCTGGGCTTTTTTGCTCTGCACAGACCAATCTTTGGAAGCAGGCCTCCTCCCGAGAGAGAGCGTGACCTTGGGTGAAGCACCTGCCTTCTGTGGAAGAACAGTTCTGGAGAGGGCTCAGCTGAGAGCCTTCAGCAGCCATCACCCCTGGCAGCTGGCAGAATGAGTCTTTTTCTGAAGGAAGGATCTGGGCACAGACCACAGTATCTACCACATTTCCTATGCACTGTCCACTACTCATTAGGGAAAAATTCATGTTTTGCTTCTTGAATTAAATGTTTTTTGACTGCTCTAGCTTCCTTAGATTTTTCATTTCTGTGAACTTCTGTTGCACTTACAAGCTGTTCTACTTGCTTTTGTGGTTAACCACATGGTTACTTAACTACTTTCTGGGTTGTAGATTGTCTTTCTAACTATATTGTTGGCTCTTTTCTAATGCTCTTCCTAAGTAACTTACAGTATATGCATCATAAGAATTTAAGTGAATATCGTTGAATGAATAAATGCATTACAAACAGCCTGTTCTATAAAAACATGAAATAATCTCTGCTTTACACACAAAGCGGAGTAAACCTCTCCACTGTTTCTAAGCTTCACAAATGAAAAATATGCAAAGACCTCAAAGAAGGTTAAAAGACAACCTGCAAAAGTAAGAGGAATTAAAATCTCTATAGTTGGTTATATGAGATGATGGATGCTCTTACACAAAAAATGTGCAAGTCAAACTGATCTGGATTTTCTATTATTTGTAACACAAGACTCCTAAGTTATCTGTGTAGTTATAAATATTGTGATTCGTGTAAAAAAACCAAAACATTTTATTGACTCC